GGCCGAGAGAGAGAGAGAGTGTGAAGAGGAGAAACCGTCTCGAGGGTGATTGGCCAGTCAATTCTTTTGACAGGATGACTCATTGAACTTTGTGTGGACGGTAGTCCCATCATACAACGCCTACTGCATAAGATCATTTCTCTGTCGGGGTCATAAGAGAGAGAGAGAGAGAGAAAGACACTTTGATGCAGCACGCACTCCATGACAGGGCCTGGCTTTGACTTTAGCTACGCTGCTCAAGTTCAGCTTTAACATTATTCTGACATGTATGACATTGATGTCTTTTTATTAGATGTCTTGATAACAGTAGAAGGTTAAAGGTTAGAGCTGCAGTGGCTTGGAGTGATGATTCACAACTGCCATGAAATGACGTGATTTGCTATGGTGTCAGATGTCCCCGTTTTCTGCATTTATTACTCAGTGTATTGTCTTTCTCTTCAGTGGTTACTGTTTCTGCTCATCTATGCATATCTAAGTCCTTTTTTCTTTTTTAATATTTTTATATATATCTGGCTTTGAATTCATATTTTTTTGGTCATGACATTTTCATGACAATTTCTTTCCTGATATTACTTTTTCCTTTTTTTCATCCACAGTTTGCCTGGAGGCTTCTGCAAGGCAGGATCGCTCCAGAAATAAAATGGACTCTGTGAAAGATGCTTCTTTTGTCAAAGTGTCTTTCTTTTTTTCTGTCTTTGTCACACTTCTACTACTTCTACTATTACAGCAAATTCAAGTTTACCTCTTTAATTTGCAGAACATCAAGCATCTTGCTCTGGATTATTTATACCCTCTTCCTGGTCATAGTACTTTCACTAAAAAAGATAAAAGATGAACGGGCAAAAAGAGGACAAAAAAAATCAAGTTTAACAGAAAATGTCAAATAAAGCCCAACAGAATCGAGCATGATATATTCTGTCTATCAGGGCACATTTCTGATTTCAAACAGACAACATTACTATGTTATGAAGCGAAGCGCCGTTAGATCTCGCAGTTCAAACAAACAGTGTTGGAGACGACAAAGTGAGTCCCAGCGTCGCTGTCAGTGGTATCCCTCCAGGCTGTACATTGCTGTCTCTTCACAGCTTACAGTCTGACTCCTCCTGGTCTAAAGCTTTAGAAGAGAATGGTTCATTTTCACAGACACTGATTTGTGCTGCCTTGGGCCATGAGAATAACATATGCAATTTGTGAAAAGCTGAGTGCTGTTTTCACTACATAATTGATGAGCTGTGCAGTGAAATGGAATGGAATGCCTCAGAGGACTTCTTAAAAAATACCCTAAATGTTTAAATATCAGATTTGTTCTTTACCTTAGCTTGCAAGCCACAAAACACCCTCAAATCATTGTTCCATTTAAATTCCTAAAATGGAATATACATGGGATTGGCTCACAAGATAAAAGGAATTAAATATTTAATCACATAAATAAATTAAATCCAGACATATGGCTACTTCAAGAAACCCATTTATCAAACTCTAACGACCATCGATTGGAGTTCCCAGAATTCAGTCGAGTTGTTCTCTGCTCCTTATAATTCAATAAAACGAGTTGCATCAGTATTGATTCATAGGATATTCTTCACATCCTGATATAACTTCACAGACTCATGAATTGTCATTGGAGTCAATTGAATTAAAGTGCATTGAATTGAATCAGAGGGGATTTTAATATAGCTCTCAACTCGGCAGTGGACTAATAAGGAATGCACGAGACTAACCCAATAAATAAGTTTATACGCAGATGACATCTGACTTTACTTGCATAACTCACAAGTTTCTTTTGACCAATAACTTCAAAAATAGTTTGAATCCGGTAGACACACCATCACCCATCTCCCATCCCTCCCTCCATGCACTGTCAGATACTGTAGGTGTTAATAATTCCCCAAAGCTGTCAGAGCTGGTACATTTATATTTTAACTCTAGTGTTTCCAATAATTTACCTAGAGATAGAAATTTTTTTTTCCTGCAACCGTTTCATGATGGACCGAACATATTTTTACACAGGTGGGCTGGCTGGCTGGCTCCAGGCGCATTTCCCCTCCAGAGGGGCGCAGTGACCGGCTTTAGTTTGGCTTGAAAAGTGAAAATGGCTCGCCACTCCGTCCATATCAGATTTACAGCACCGCTTGCATTGGCATCAAAATATACTTTAGGTACTACAACTAAAAGTATACTCATTATGCAGAAATGCCCAAATAGTATACGGCCACATATCATTAGATTATAGTTGTTGATGCATTATTGTGTGTTCACATTAATGTTACATAAAAAGGAAAATGCTCAAATAGAGTACAATTCCCCAAAATTGTACTCAAGTACAGTTCCTGAATAGCCTAAATGTACTTAGTTGTATTCTACAACTGCTAGAACAAGAGCGAAACTGTTGTTTACAAGAGCACACATTTATTCATAGATATAGTCTATTACTCTTAAGGTTACAAAAAACATCATTTGAATTTCAGTTTGTGTTAAGTTGTTACAGTTGTTACAATTTGAACTATCGTAGATTAATAACTTCTTCCCTTAGCAGGACTTAATTACAAGTGTAACAGTGTTACGTAACAAGCGTTGAAATCAAAGTTAAGTTTTGGTTTCACACGACAACCAAGTCCTGTGTGTGTTTGACCCAACCACCACTCCTTCCACCTACCTTGCTTGTTATACTCGTTATTATACCCCATACTTTTCAATTATGGTCGCTCGATATACTTTATCACTTGCTGTGACCGAAAGCAAAGACGTCAAACTTCAACGTATCCATGGTTTGCAGAAACCTACCTAGATTTGAACAATTATATCAGATAAGTCGTTCAGTCTTGTTGTTAGCGTCTAAAAAATATATCCACTATTCATGAGGCATGATCCAGACAGCACACAAATACTAAACTTTGAGCTAACATTGGATTTGTATAACTGTAGTTACATAGTACAAATACACTAAAGATTGGGAGGATGACAGTGAGGGTGACCGATGATGATATTATTGGTGATGACGACGACAATGTTGTTAGCAAAAGTGATGAAAAAGACCAGTGACAACCAAAAACAGCGAAAAAGATTGTTGATGATGGTGAGGATGATGATGATGATGCCCCTGACAGTAGAAGTAGAAGTCAGAGCCAGATGGCTTTAAAACACACAGAAAGCTCTCGTTGTGCAGCTCCGCTCTGCTGAGCAGGATTCGTGAAGGTAGAGAGGGAATGGCAGGGGAACGGGAGGAAAAGCAGGTTTGCTTTGTTTTGAGTTAAATTCCCTGGACTGTTTCCTCGCTGCCAATAGCACACTGGCAGCCTGAGTAATTAGTGTAAACTCACATTGTGCGAATGTGTGTGTCTGCTGTGGTGTGTGTTTGTTTTTTGGATGTGTGTGAAGGCAACATTTGTGTGTAGACTTTTTTTTTTTTTTGCCTTGCCATGCACGGTTCATTTGAAGGTAAGAAAAAATAAAATACAACAGAAATAGTAGGTTTGATTTTGTCTGGCAGTGATCTTACGTTTGAAGCCCAAGGACACATGAACTCTCTGGCTTCAGCTCTGCATGCGTGACGAAAAAAGCAGCAGGGGGAAAGAGGTTTGAGAGGAGAAGACCCAGGAAATATTTTATGGTGAAGATGTCGATTTGAATACAGCGACTTTGTAGCATGAGGCACATTTCATCTTCCCTGGGACCTTTTTTTTTTTTTATCTCTGAAGTTCTTTTTAATGAAAGGCATACTGCCAAAAATAAACTCTAAAACTCCAAGAGGTGATGTTGATACAACTACAGTCCTAAAATAATGTGGTTTTACCCAGGAAGAGCTGGAAAGTGTTGCTGGGTAGAGGGATATCTGGGATACCCTCCTAACCCTGCTGGCCCCGCGACCCGGCAGATAGTCTCGGATAGTAAATGGATGAATAATGTGGTTAAACACTTCAGATCCCAGATACCGTCAGTGTATCTGAAGTAGCACTAGTAGAAAATGTTGGGTTAGCATTAGCAGTCACTGCTACCGGGATCAGGAAGTAACAGTGAAGCTGACATGAATAAGATGAATTTACTAACTCCCACGTCAAGGTAGGCAATTTAAATACTGTGCGGGAATAGCCACTAACAATTAAAACTACTGCATAGAGAGGTAATTACCCAATGCAAATAGGGCTCTTGATAATTCAAGATGATAATTTATCGTCTTTCAATTTAATTATATTGTGATGAAATCATATATCGAAATTAACTGAATTGATGATAACAAACGCATACTCACTAACATTTTTCAGAAAATCTGACCCTTTTGCTCTAAAGTTCTTAATTTAATAAAAAAAATTACTTATTTCATATGGTATACATGCTATATCGTGATATGTATAAATATCGAGATTTTAAATGACTTATATCGGGATAGAAGATTTTGGCCATATTGCCCTAAATGTAAATACTTTGAATGACTGTCACTGAAAAAATGCAGACCATAAATAATACCCAAAATGTGTTTATCAGGTTAAAAGCTTAAGTTAATATTAAATTATTAATTATATTGCGCATTCCCGCCTGTCAAATGCTCACCGGGAAGAAAGTAGAGAAAGAGGAGACAATTCAGCAGCACTCAACGGACAAGAATAACAAAAAAATAACTTGGAATTTGTTTGAATTGACATCTGTGAGCCATTTAGATATCAACCTCAAAAACAAAAATGCAGGAGGCAGCTGAGTTTGAACGTCGCTTCGACTTCTGCTTTTCTGTTATTTATATATGCGTTTCCGAAGTTAGTTCAATCCGCTCTAACAACATCTATTTAACATCAAATGTTTGCTGTGTAGAAGAGCGCCAAGGGAAACAGAGCGGAGGAAAGTGGGAGGGAGGACATGAAGAGAAAAGGGAGGGGGGGATGAAGAAGATCTGAAGGACTGTACACTCTCTCTCTTTTGTCTCTTTTGTCTCTTCCTGAGGACAAAAGGACAGAGAAACAACAGAGAATAAAAGAGACACAAAAGGACGGCAAAGAGAGGTGCGTATCTTTTTTTTTTTTTTTACAGAAGTCATCTTTTATTGCCACGTAAGAAAGTCGTATATACTGTAGAACAATGGTGATATACTGTCAGATGGCAAATCATCAACAAAAGAAGAACAAAAATATCCCTGTCATCCCTTCCCAAAATAAATAAAACAGACAAATTCATAGAAACACTATGGTAATATATTTCTGGGACAAAACGTCTTCTATATCTCTTTTTCTAACAATATCTGAATAGTACCAAAATACAGCTTTTTCATAACTTAATGTCACAAATTATAAAGTCAGTAAACAGTAAAAGGACAATGGGTCATCACGGTGCATAATATAAGCTACTGTGCAAACAATAGTGGGAGATGGGCTCTACCATAGAAAATATGCCTTACTAGTTACGCATAAATGCAGTGTTGGGGCCATATGTATCCATATACACATATGCATAAATACCACAAACTGGTCTGAACATCAAAAATAGAAAATTGGATCTCATATGACTTTGTATGTAATGCATGATTAACACCAAAATGAGTTAATCAATGGGTTATTCTATAAAAGGATAGGCTTGTTAATGGATAGTATTCATATCGCAAATAGCTTATTGATCCTTCAAAGATAATGGAAAATCCCAAGCAGAGGTCAATAACCAGAGTGTTTCCCTCACATCCGCTGTGATTGATATCCGTCCGTTCATTCTAACAGCAAGTAAATGTAATACAGGTTTATTAATAAATAAATAAATAAATGATAATCATACATATAAAGCACAGCATTGGAGCAAAACCCTTTTTAAAACAGATGTCGAGCGTTACTGGACAACAAACACTGCATCTCCTCCGTCTCCGTGTGCAGAAGCTCCGGATTGTTGAAAACATTGCGCATAAGGACCGATGCTATACAAAGTCGTAAACATAGCTGACGAGAACCCCTTTTGATAATATACTGATAATACTGATTTTTTTTTTGTTTTTGTGATGGTACAGATGCTGCTCCTCGTAGGCTGTACATGCTTATAATGCTATCAAGTCCAGCGAACGGCGACGGTAAAAAGATTGAAAAGAAGAGAGTCGAGGAAAACCTGGTAAATAAAAAAAAAAAAGTAACGTTGTGTTTGAGCCCTTTAGTGTCATCCCAGATGTACTGTACATGTCCCACTTTCTGATCATGAGAACCGCTGCTCCTTCTGTCCTTGAATGAAGAGAGTATACTTAAGAGTATTTGCATTTTATCTGTCGTGATTAAGGGGAGAAAAGACTTTCTTCCCCACCAAGAAATTAATATTTACAGACAACGGCATTGTCCCGATTCAGTCCGACATCAAGAACGACCCGTGCTTCACATCTGTAGCTTGAATGGGACACACAGTGTAAACAAACACTCAGCCCAAAGAGGAGCTGACAAATACGTGTTACAGTGCATGTTAGTAATGGCCAATCTGTCTGGAGGAATCAGTGATTGATTTGGGGAATCTATAGAGCCGAGGCATTAATAATCAAAACAAGTCTGAGAGTCTGTAACAATACTGTCACAACATAAAGTGTGTGTGTGTGTGTGTGTGTGTGTGTGAGTCAACAGTCATCTCTGATTCACAGCTTTGCAAATGGAGCTGTTAGGGCTCACGTGCCACGCACCACCAACATTTAGCGATATCAATAATTCAAAGCTCCCCCCCCCCCTAACAAGTGTTGACATTAAGTCCCTTTTCTGTCTTTGTGTGCCACTGTGGACTCAGTCCCCACTCTGGGTTTTCGGTGATTAAAGACCACAGTGAAAAAACTCGTAAAGCCCCCCTGGCCACTGGTCCCAGTACAGCTCCTTTTTTTTTTCGGTCTCTTATTGAATATTCCTTGTAGATATTCGACTGTGTGGTTTTTCTCACAGCGACTGTGTGCTCTGCTGAACAAGAGAGGCTTGATTTCAGAACAACTAGTCTAATGGGGTTGCTTTTTTTTTGTGCTATTAATAGGCCTCTTTCTCTGCTAAAGCAAGGGAGAAGTTTTCAAATCCCATTCACATCTCACCTGCCAATTTCTGCCTCTCAGTGAAGCTCGTGTGGGCTAGTGGGAGTGTAGGCTGCAGTAATTCTCAGTCGTGTTGTTGCTATCTCTCGTTAATGTGCATTTCGTAGGTAGGCAGGTGAGTTTGTTAGGTGTTTGCCCTCCCGTCTTGTTTTCGAGACAAGTCAAAAACCCTCTCCCTCATCTGCCACCCTTGCTGTTTGCTCTTTAAGGAGGATCCAGACAGAGAAACACTCCAAACGTGACAGTCGGAGCACTTCATAAAATGAGCACAGTGGTGGCTTCATGGCTGTGAGAGGCAGGGAGCTCAGGCGGTGGAGGGCTAAACTGTTCTGTCCCAGAGAACCCGGGTTCGACCCAGGCAGAGCACGACTGGCAGTGTTGGGAAGCCAGCGAGGGATCCTTGTCGTTGCACTAGAGACTCTTACTTCATGGTTGGGGTACCTGTGCAAAGAGGGGTGGGATCTGGGGGGGGGTCAATAACCAGAGTAAAGCTCTTCACTGTTGGGTAAGAAGTGTATCGGAGGACACATATGACTGTCCAGAGGACAACAGTAGGGGTCAGCAGTAAGGAGGAACACAGTGTAGCAGTGTGGATCATGCCAAGGAAAAAAGATACAGTAAAAGAAATCATTGAAATCAACAAACTGCACGCGGCTTAAGCTTGCTAGCTCCCCCCCCCCCCTTCATAGCAAAGTAAACCAAGGCTGAACTCAGCGCTCCCTGCGGTTTGTGTTTCCATTCGTCACTCACTCCGGAAAGCAAAGTGTCATCGCCAGACATCAGAATTTACCAGACAGATAGGTCTTGCTTGATTAACTCTGATTAATAATGACAAGATGGGTGTAAAAGTCAGTCAAAATATTTCATCCATGGAAAAAACACAATATGCAATTAGTCATTAACTCCAGGTCACAGGGCCAAAGAGAACTCCACATCACTTCGGGCCGTTGTTCGACTGGCCCGAACTCTTGCTCCCGCCTCTGTTGCTGATCAATGCGCCGGTGAACTGCTGCGCCCTCTAACTCGGGGTCTGATTCCTATAATTAGGCCATTTGCACCGCCGCTCCTCATCAGGCAGGACAGAATAAAAGAATAATGCAGAAAGACCTCGGAGCTGCGGCAGGCAGCGCACCCACTTGGGTCGTCAGGACCTAAATGGTTTGGAGCAATGTGTTCACACTGAGAGGTCATCCCTAATTTTGGAACTCGTTCGGCAGTGTCGCGGTAGGTAAGACACTAAGAGGTGAAGGTGATCACTGACACTATATTGCGCGATGTCAGTTACTATAGGGTGGCCAGCTGGGTGGAGGGAATTGTTCCATTGGCTAGTTTTGACTCAAGGCCTGGTCAAACCACAATGTGCCACAGACGTTTGGTGACGTAATGGCTCCTGGCAGCGTTAGCTACCGTAGCTTTTCCATGCTAGCGCTAGTCAGTCACAGTAGCTCTCCAAGGTTTTTTACCCGCTGGCTTTTTGTTCTCAGATTTTACATGATTTCAATAAAGAGTAATTGGGGAGAAAAAAAAAACTTGTTAGCTCGCAAGCTAAAATAATGCTAAATAAAGACATATCTGTAGCAGCAACCCTTGTCTCAAACTGTCTGCAGTTTATGCAACAGCGCAAATTCACATCTCACTCTGTGTTGTAAATAAGATATTCAGATTTTCTTTTTTTTTTTTTACTTCGTAGGTGTCCATTATCAGGAATTAATGGACACCCTGCAGCCAATCAGAATGCAGTGTTCACCCAGACGATGGTATAATGATATATAATAAATGATGCACATTTTTCCCCTGTTTCTTTGGACTTGGCTGGTTTCACAGTTGTTTATTAGCCACTGAACGTACTTATTATTAAAGTATGTTGAGCCGGTACCGATGATAAGTACAAAGACTGCATTTAATCACCAAATTGTGTTGTCAAACTGTAGAAAAAAAAACCCGAATCTCGCAATGAATGATGAACGCTTACTGCTCTTAGAGCTCCCACTGGCTCTGTTACTGAGCTGGCTGTTTTGGGCCTGCAGACTACCAGTGTCCTTTAGTCTCTGCTGTGGCATTTTTTTGTCCGACTGACTCGTCAGATGAAAAATATCAGACATGACTGCCTCCTGAACCCACTCATCTGTGGGCCCTGACCCTATCAACCGCGACCCAGCAAGCGCAACCAATTCCCCGCTTTCTATCGGGGTTTATTTTGGATGTTACCGTGAGGGATGAGGTGTTTTTTTGTTTTTTGTTTACCAACTGCCCAGCCTGCTTATCTATTGTTCCGGCGGCTGCTCTTGCAGAGCTGAATAGGCTTTAAGGATGGAGCAGTATGTGATGGCGAGGAGGGATCATATTTCCACATTTCTGCGGCGCTGGATTAAGTCAATTGGGTCCGATAATGCATATCCTCAGGAAAACATTGACCTGCTTCTCAACTCTGTCGCAAACAAAACCATCAGCTGGCAAGAAAAGGCGGAAAGTAATACAAGGTGGAGGGGAAAAAATAAAAAAATATTTGCAAAGGATTCTCATCGGAAGCTAACAGGTTTATGGGATTGTGAACTCCAATTATATACGATCCATTTTGTTTGCCTTGTTTGTTTGAGTTTTGACTTCTTCAGAGACAATAATCATATGCCAAAGTTGGATCCACACACACATACGCAGACATAGAAAAAGTTATAAAGAGTGAAATTTGCGCAGTGTTCAAGAGGACACACAATGGTACTGCAAACTGAATTACATTTTTTTTTTTTTTTGGCACACAATCAATCACTTACATTTCCTGCTCGAACAATGCACATGAGGGGCGTAAACCAATCGTGTCTTTCAAGGTGCGGGGTGAATTATTTGTATTCACCTTCTCATCACGATGTGTACTCCACTGTTGCAGAAAAGATTCATCACAGCCCTGTATTTGTTTCTCGCAGATATTTCTCAAGTCAGACATCGAGGGAGCAAAAGAAGAAAAGGGGGGGTGGGGAGAAGTGAAGAAGAAAATAATTTTAAAAAAGCAAAGCGATTGAGAGGGAGGCTATGTATAAAGCATAATCAGGTATCGCTACAAAGGGCCATGGTCTGGAGTTTCACAGTCTTTCATACACAACAGGAGCAGTAACAGTACCGACTCTTTTGTTCTCCCTGCTGTGACGACGCCTGCCGCTCGGCACTGTGGGAGCAGAGAGAAAGCAGAGTCCACCCTGTAATGTATTCTGTTTGCGCATGCGTGTGTGTGCGTGTGTGTGCATGTCTTAGTTGTGAGTGTAAAAGGTGACACATTTTAATGCTCTGATGACTTCTTAAATCCTGTTTCACGCTTTCAATTTGGTCCCAGGTTTCCAGACATGTGACCCTCGAGGCGGCGGGTGGTTCCCCCTCATGTTACTCTCAACTGCCTTAGCTGTTTCATCTTTTTGATTTAGAAGCTGGAGTGTTAGACCCCCCCCCCCCCCCATTTTGTACGTCACATCTACATTTCTGGACACACAGTGTACCCAAACTAAGTGTAGCTCTGCTGGAGCTCCAAATCAAATGTGAAATCCAGTGTTGTTTTTATTTCTCAATCGGTCATCATATGCACCTCTCTTACATTTACATTGGACTATTTTAACCTTTTTTCTTGCTTGCTGCTAGGCTGGACCTGCACACACATTTATAACGCAACTGCATTTACTGTGAAGCCAAATGGTTCTCTGACCAGCTTCGGAGATGATTTAGACGAGTAATTCATCCTCGCTGTCTTTTATATTCTATTTGAATGTGGCCAAGCATATTCTGATTACAATCTAATCGCTTAAGATGCGTCTAAATCCCAAGCGTAAAGAGGGTCTTAGAGGTGGACGAAGCAATTGAGATAACAAGGTCAATATGATAAGTGTGGCTGCAGCTGCTAATAAATCTTACATCATTACAAAACAAGCAAACCGGCTCGGAGAAGCCCCGAGAAGATTTGACCTATTTGTCAGACTTTAGGATTTATTTTTGTGTTGGAGTCATGTAACCCAGATAGTTTTCAGCTAAAACTCGAGGACGGTGAGTGATCTAATCTATCCTAGCGTCTTGTGGCAGCGACTTCTATCACCAGCTAAAAAAAATAGTATTTTTCATTCCTGTTACATCCACTTTTCACAGTAGTTTCTTGCCTTTGTCTAAAACTAGAGAAGTATAACATCCGATGCAAAAATCTGTGCAGAACTAAAATGTTGAGAAGCCAAAGCTTGCATTTGGTCTACCGAACAATATAGGTGCTCAATTGAGCTATATTTTATGTGTCTGTGTTTGATTAAACTAATACATACATAAAAACACATTTTCCATTTAATAGGTCAGTTTGTCCACTTCTAATATGATGAAGGCCATTCCTGAACATAGCTACATTAAAATTGCTTTATTTTTTGCACAATGTATTTGTTCTTTCAAAGAAATACTTTATTTAGTTGCCTGACAACCTCACGATGACGATAAGACTCCAGGAAGTTACTGTGTCCAGCAAAGAAAAAGTCTGGCACATAAACCATTTTTTGTACAGTTCGGTCTTTGTTCAGATTTTAAAAAAAGCAAGCTAGATATAACATATAAATGAGTGATCTTTTGAAATGCTTATATGCAGATTTTGTTATTAGGCTGTCAGGCTAGCTGTTTCCCCCCCGTTTCCAGTCTTTGTGCTAAGCTAACCAACTACTGGCTGTAGGTTCGTGTTGAACATGCAAACATAAGTGGTATCAATCTTCTCAGCTAACTCTTAACAACAAAGCAAATACATGTCTTTCACAAAATTATCCCTTAAATTGTGCAAGCCTGTTGTAACTGGTTTTCTGATTCAAAAATATTTATATGTCCAAAACTGTACCCTGTCCTTGAATGGATACGGCGGGTCATTCCGACTTAGCTGCCATTTCTGAAAGTTAAATTTTTCTTGAGTACTGTGGCGATCCAAATTCACTGCTGAGAATATCAGTTTGGGGAAACACTGAACTGAATTTTTGAAATAAAAACAGTCAAATTTAATGATGACAAATATGCGCAAATTAAACGAAATGTCAGCCGTCCGCAATTCTAATCTAAAATGATTGGTATCATTCTTTGAGAAGCCATGCTGGTCACACCCTAGTGTGCGGTATTTCTACAGTATATGTTTCTTTATGTGTTTGAGTAAAAATATGCTCCTGCATGTGCGTGAATGTATGTGCGGGCACGAGACATCCTGCTCCGTAGAGCCTCTGCTAGCTGCGGCATCATCCAGATTCCGCCTCGCTGCCTCCTCATCCCTCCTCATCCCTCCTCTGGGCTGGCTGTCACCGCGCAGACGAGATCAGAACAGAACAATGCCCGTGTGACAGCCTCCATTCTCTGTGCTGGAGCCTTGTGGAAAAAGGGGCGACCTTCAGCTGCAGATCTTATGAAGGCGCTCCTGAATAGCCACAGTACAAAGCCCTGCGTGTCTGCAGTCCGAAGCCCAGTGCTCATCATGTGTGCCTGTTTCAGAGCCCTCAGGAGATTTGGGAGTGGGGGGGGGGTTGAATCATAAGGGAATGTTATTTCTTCCAAGCCATTCAACGCTTTGTTGGGCAGATGCCGCTTTGTTGTTGCAAGGTTTGTGGGTAAACTTGCTGTGTTTGTCCTTCCAGCTTCGGTGCTTTAATCCCTTATATTGCTTCTCAGCATTGGTTCGTAAAGCCAATCCTTTTTTTTTGCAGTTTCTCACTTAATCATCTGTGTGTTGTACTGTAATTCTCAGATTGTTGTTATCATTACGAAGTAGATATTAGCTGTGAGACAACACTCTAATATCACCACAAGTGTACACACGGCCCTGCTCTGTAGGCTCTTTGAAGTTATGGTTACAGATGCCATTCCTATTGGCAACAAACGTCCGTTTAGTGATTTGATTGGTGAACTCTGTTCGTGAAACGCGGACCACTCTGAAACGCTGTCCCACCACATTCACCAGTATACCAACGAGCCACACAAACACACACATTGATCTGCACTGTTGACCAACGCGGGGGTTGGTGTCTCCACTCAGAGATTACTTGTGCTGTCACTCCGCATGCATCCTTTCCCCCTCTCTTTCTCCCTGTTTTCCCTCTCTCACACAGTCACCTCTGTCTTGCTGTTGGTCACAAAGTAGGGCTGTGTGGGGAGGAAGTGTTGGCTGTGGCTCTGGCCTCTGGTGCTGTGAAGCTGGTTGGGCTCAAGCACGGTACACTGAGGCCTCCTGTGCCCGTAGGTCTTCCTCCGGCCCACCGTCTCAGTCCCGTCCCAGCCCTTCAGCCCGAGCCCCATCGAATGCCCAGCCGCGATTGTGTTGGAACTGTACGCCATTGGGCGGCCCATTGTAGCTGAGCTGGAGCCAATGGCTGTCTCTGCGGCTCTGGAGATACCCAGGGACGTGCCACCTGGCATGGTCCCTGCCATGTGTGCCAGGGAGGTAGCCCCGAGTCCTGGCGGCTTGCTACTGTGGCTGTGACCATGACTGTGAGTGTGAGAGCTGTGAGAGCTGTGGCCCACATGACCATGGCTGCTTTTGAGTTTCTGGCCATTCAGCTTGAGTCCCCCCCCTCCTCCTCCGACACTGGCCATGTGCCGCTCTGTCGGGAGGGTTGAGACGGAAGAGATGCTGGGCATCTCGGTGACGTAGGTGGCCACCGGCTCCGGAGTCAGTGGACCCAGGGATGTCATGGGGGTAATGGAAGTCATAGGGGTCATGGAGGTCATAGGGGTCATGGAGGTCATCTGGGCGAGGGAAGTCATGGGTGTCATAGAGGTCATGGGCATCATGGAGGTCATCGGGGTCATGGAAGTCATCTGGGTCATGGAGGTCATCTGGGTCATGGAGGGGTTCATGTGGTTGGACGCCATGTGGTTGGAGGCCATGTGGTTGGACGCCATGGGGTTGGAGGCCATGTGGTTGGAGGCCATGGGGTTGGAGGCCATGTGGTTGGAGGCCATGTGGTTGGAGGCCATGTGGTTGGACGCCATGGGGTTGGAGGCCATATGGTTGGACGCCATGGGGTTGGTAGTCATCGGGGGAGTCATTGATGACATATTGCCCATGGAGGGTCTGGAGTTGCCCATCGGCTGGAGAGGAAGCCCGCCCTTCGTTGGCAGCTCCACCATCAGCCGACGCTTGTTGTAGACTTCACCGTTGTACTTGGCAGCTGACAGAAGAGAGAGAGAGAAACAGAGGGCTAATGAAAATGTTTACTGGACATAAAAGAGCAACTAAAATTGACGGCTATCGGAAGTCTAAATACATTTGTTTCCTTTTAATTTGCTTGACTGTCATTTGTGAAAAAACTAAATCCCAGGTTGTCTGTTTTGCTCCTGTGGAACAGAAAGAAAATAAAACTGTTGTATAGAGTGACTCATAAAGTAAGACTTTCAGCAGTTTGCAGCTGCAAACTAAGACAAGCACTTGTGAGCACATACACACAGGCAGAGGTTTGGATAGAAAACATCCCATCCCTTTTTACTCCCACAATCTGAAAAGGTCGTATAACAAACCCTATCAACATTACCTTTGTTAGTCAGCCTACCCTCATCTACTGCAACTGGCCAAGCAGGGTGTCAGGGATACTGTAAACGCCTGCATAAAGAGGCCCGTCGTGCCACCTGGGGAGTGAAATCAAAAGGAAAGCCCAGAATGTCTCCACCACCTTCCTCCTCTGCCTCTTCCTCCTTATTAAGCCAAGAAAACATCTCATTTCTGTGTGGTGGGAAGGTGTTCGACTATGATAAAAAAAGAGCACGGTGTATGTTTTTCCCCCCTTTTGACACAGCCTATAATAACTAAAAGATTTCAAGAAGACCAAGTAGACTGCCCTTTCTGGGGAGGAAATGACGGGCAGTGCAATTCCGGAGCCGGAATGCTTTCTGATACAAAGTTATTGATCCGTTGTTGTCAACGCAACATTTGACATATTTTACTGCTGACGGACTAGTTACAGACAAAACTTGCACTATAGTCAGTTGGCGATTTGAGGGAGGATGCCATCCCCTAGTAGCAGAGAGAGAGAGCAGTGGCACACCGGCCCTTCGCAAACCACCGCAGTCCTATCGTGGATCGAGCCCGGACAGCTGAGGCAGCCAGTTCTGTCGCCACTAGTCCACTTGTTAATCGATCGCGGAGGGCGTTGTACTCTTGGACGGATAAATATGATAAGAAATGCTGAAATGGGTCGCCATATATACTTGGGAGGCCATTAATGTAGACTAAAGTCTACTGCTTATGTTTCTAATCACATTTATCGTTAATTTATGTTTTCTCGAACCAAATATTGTAGTTGGTCTATGTACATAGCTTATTGAACCATTCCTCTCGTTGAGTACATCGATGAGTTGCTTTTGGAGCAGGTATTTTTCGAAAAGGAGTCTTTTTCATTTGAAAGAAGGCAAGGCTATATTAACGGTTGTTTCATAGATTTGCGTAATTGAACTTGTGCTCATTGAAAGACAACGTAACGACACGCTAAGTTGACCTTAAAACAGCTCAGTTATTTTTTAGAATGACGTCTTCCTTGCCACAAAAGGGAAATAGATAACAGCAATAACAGAGGTTTGTAAAAGTTAGAATCTATGGCCCGACCGTGGCTCTGAAATATCAGTAGCCTAACTGTGCCATGAATCCATGAATCCAGGGCGCTGTCCATGGTGCTGAAGTAGCAGACAGACTTGTTATTGGGTGGGTCGGCGGTTCGCTAATTGCTGGTACAAACTAACTGTTCCCCCTATTTAGAAATTAAATCGCCAACAGACTATAGTGTTCATTCTCTCCTACATGGCGGCATGTCCATTGTTCATGCAATAGTAAACCTGCAGCTTCAAACTGAGCGAAAGGACATAATCTCCCTGTCCACATACAAATAATCAAGACTTAAATTACGGATTGCATTTTTGTGTGTAGAAGGGTTTGTACGGTGTATGAGCATGCTAGCTTTATAGGAATGTTACCACAAAGTGTAACAAGTGGATGTAAGGCATTTAAAGTGCTAGTCTCATCACATAACATGCAGTAGTGCATTCGGTGAACAAGCTAACTATACACGTGCTAGCTAAAGCATTCTTTGTGGTGTGCTTGGTCTGGAGTGTAAATGTGTGACTGACCAGCACCTATAATCTGTTCCAATGCAGACAGTCAATGGCAGCACAGACACAGACACAAGCCTCCTGTCCATCCTTCCTCCACCCAACCCAGCACAACGCAGACTTAAGGGGATGCTTAACTTGTACACACAGCACAGAAAGTTGCAGGGAAAAAAGACAGTTATTGTGACGAATTATTAATTTAAGGGGTAAAAGGTACGAGGAAATACATACATATATACAGGATAAACACACATGCAAGCACATACTAAGTCTGAACCAACAGACATTTATGTGTATCTATCTACCAAGCCTCTCTGTGCTCTTCTGTGTGTGTTTGCTTATGTCTCTTTAGCCTTGGAGCAGTGAGGTTTAATACCTCACATTTATTCCTCCCTCTGTCAGTCACTGTCACCGAGCTACAGTCTCTCTTATCACTGCGAAATGTGACTTTTTTCTTCTTCTTACCCCACCGTCAGAATACACGTTCACAGTCGAGTCATTACTCTTTAGCCCATGTTGCCTCCACGTCCTTGAAGATAAAGTTAACACGCTCAGCGAGTTTGCTTTGCCGCTGTAACTATAAATCTACTTTATCGCTCTGCGAACAGGGGGAGAGAAATGAGTGGGGGGATAGCAGAGGTGTTTGTGGAGGTGGGGGGAGCAGCGTCTCACCCGCCGAGGTTTCCGCTAGACCGCCCCAGGGGATCAAAACTGCTCAGGCGACAGGTGAATCAATCCGGCGGCAGTTGGCTCGACGGATGTACGCATCCAGCAGCGTACGTGAGTGGAAATGGAAAACACAGCTGTTACGCAACGTGGGCTCCGCATGCCTCTGCATGCCTCTGCATGGGAAAGGCCAGCATCCCACCAATACCAACAGGCATCGTGCATCAGAAAATCAAGCACGGTTCCTCTGAAGTCGCTAAGTGCCAATAACATAAGCACCTTATTAGTGTTACACCAGTGTGTCAATCTGCTTTTTATTATCTGCCAATCGAAGTGTTTTAATACTGTTAAGTCTTAAAAACCTCTTTGTATGTTTTACAATGTTTTTGCAAATGATATATATATATAACTAAATAAAGGTTATATATAGATTATTTATATATATTTGTGGGATGTTTTAGTATTTAGTGTAAATGGGTGGATTTCCCTGTCGTAGTGCTGTCACCCTACCAAAAACATTAGTCTGGGACCTTTGTGTCTTATGATGAAGTAAATGCTTTCTGTACTGTCTATGGCAGGAAAATAGTCTTATATAAAGGTAGTCAATGTTGTCACAGGATGTGAGATGTAATCTGAATGGGAGAGCAGCTGCTATCTCCGCTGTGGAAATATAGAAATGTCAAGCCAAGTAGGTGAGCTGTGGGCAATTGGAGCACATTAAATGGGGCTGTTATAGACACGGGTGCAAACTGCCTGTGCTTTGTTATAAAGTTCTGGATAATGTGACATCTTACGGTCATTACCATTTTAGCCACTGGCGACAAGGCTCTAACAATGACAGTGTCTCTGATCGGTCTGTCATGGTCTTACCTGAAATATCTCATCAATCATTGGATGGTTTGCCATGGAATTTTGAACAGACGTTAATGTTGCCCAAAGGACTGATCCTCTTTCTTTTTTCCTAGTCACCAGTTTGTCGTAATTTGACTTTGTTGTATTAGCCTGAGCTGTATTTAATGCGTGTTTAGTGGCAATTAGCAAAAGTCCTTGCTACGCATGAAACATACCAAGCTAAGATGGTGAACATGAAAAACATTAGACCTGCCAACCATCAGCATGCTGTCATTGTGAGCCTGTTGCCATGCTGGCATGAGCATTAACTAAGCTCAAAGCGCTGTTGCTATGCTATCCCTTCTCCTTGTTGCACCAAATCAAAAAGGCAGAAACTTTCTCCCGCCGAGTTTCATTTTTGAAACTCATTTGCATGTAAAGAGATTATCGGAGATTAAATGATAGCTGAGATGTGATAATATGTCTTGATAATTTACATGTTCTCAAAAAACTTTACATTTTTTTCTAGTCATTTCCCACCGATAATGATCTGTTCCTGGTTGAGTCTTGCATATAAAACACTGCAATAAATACGACAGTGGCAGGAGGGGTTAAGTTGGTAGCTTTAGCCTGTGCATTAGACGTGGGCCGTGATTGGTGGTTTGTACTTTTAAATGACTGCGTCCTCCTCTGGGCTGAGTTACCGCTCTGCATCCAGGGACGCTTATTAGTTGCTTTTTGCCTCGGCTGCAGTTAGAGCTCGATAAAGTGACCTCATACAGATGCACAGGGGGACAGTGGAGATGGCTATTGATTGACAGAAGTGTAGCTTATCAGCTGGACGGTGGACCATTGGGAAAGTGGCAGAGGCTATTAAAGAAAAGTGGGGAGAAAGGAAAAAAAGAGGAGGGAGGTTGGGGAAATGGTGTTGATGCTAGATTTAGACTTTTCCATTTCACATGGGGTCAGCAGGCAGCGAGAGCACCAGACTGTGTGGCAAAGGAGAAGAAAAGAAAAGCAAAGTCCATTTATGTTGTTCAAGATTAGCGGAGCTCACACAAAGGTGACTTGTGAAAGAGCCACCGCTGGCATTTTGGTTTTGTTTGCTGTCATTTAGTCTGCTCTCATGCTCTCTCTCTCTCTCTCTCTCTCTCTCTCTCTCTCTCTCTCTCTCTCTGACACTCCCTCTCTCTCTGACTCCCCATAGCTTGTGTGTGACGTTTCCCCATCATCGGACTGGCAGCATGCCTCGTGGAATTCCAGGCTCCTTTGCCACATATCTCTAGACAGGTTTCCAATCATTTCATAGAAGCGTCTTTGAATACCACTTGTGGAATGAAAAACTGTCAGTCAAGTGTGAGCCCGAAGTGGGGAGGGATGCCTCCCTTCAATTACAGAAATGTAATCAGATATGAGCTGCTATAATCACCGCGGTGATTATTTAAGGAGCGATATGGTGACCTATGGATTGAGAGGGGGGAGGGGGGAGAATAGAGTCTGTGTGGGAAGGGGGGGAGACAAAAGAAGCCAATAAACAAAAAAGGTGAGGGAAAATGCAGAGTAGAGGGCGGGAGGCGGATGATAAAGGTGCTGCTTTGAAAGAAGGAAGAAGAGAAGATGGGAAATGGAGAGAGGTGGGAGGGAGGGAGGGAGCAGAAAGAAAATAGGAGACAGGAAATGAAGGGGACAAGGAGGGAGAGGGGTGGAGATGGAAGATGAGGGAGAGAGAGAAAAACAAGCCAAGACATTAAAGGTTAGAAGAGCAAGCGAGAGGAAAATGGTCCTGCAGAAGCGGTGACGGGAAGATGAGGGCCATTTTAGATCTAAAGAAGCAGAGAGAGAAGAAGAAGTGGATCGGACGAGGAGTCGAATAGGAGGACGGGAAGAGAATCGTCAGACGCACTGAAAGGTTTGACTATAATTTCTACACTGGTGCCCCAAGAGGGCCTTGTGTAATCCCACATGGACACATTTGCACATTTTATTCCATTAACTTGTAATACTGTACACCTTATAGGACTTCCAACCCTTTACAGAACCTACCACGGCTTTTTAGATTGATAGTTGCTGCTTTCCGAACATGTCAGTAAGTAAAAAATCTCAGAGTAGTAATCAATCACGGTGAACATTCAGTCTCGTCAAAGAGTAATTGTTTCTGTGTTCATGTTGAACAATTAAACACTTGTGTTTGATGTTTTAATAAACAGCTGTGATAAAATATCCCCCGCAAGTAAAAAATTGTCACTAACGGTGGTAATATTTGGAATACTCTCAATTCGATTTGGATTGTTAAAGTTCACGATTTGATTCTGAATCAGTTCTTGATTCAAAACGGATTCTTCATTTTCCCAAAAGAAATAGAAAAGAGGGGTACTAGGTTCAATACTTCACCTTTATCTTGCAAAGCTAATTACTAAGCTATACTAAATGGACCCAAACCATAGACCGCATATAAGAAGCGGACATCAGTTGGAGGGTAAACCTCCACTGTGCAGAATGATGTACAGTATGTTTCGGAGTCTAACACCTCACTTTCACGTTCATCTCTCCGTGCTCACCTTAAATCTGAGTTGAAGACGTGGGCGTGGCCTGCAGCCAATCGTGTAACTAACATTAGTGTGATGTGGAAACTTGAAGCCTCCAGCAAATATGCACTGCGGATGGCATTTTCGGTGTCCATTAGGTTAAACTTTTTGTATATTTGCATATTCATACATTCTGGATTGGCCTTTTACCTTCTTTTCCATCCGCCTTGGCTCATCTATTTCCCCCTACATTTAGAGATTTCCCAAAATGCCATCCTCAATCCCCAAAGCGTGTGCTGCATGCATCTGATGCTTTTATGTGTGGTTGAGATGAAAGGAAAGCTGTAGCCAAACATCAGAGAGGAAGGTTTTCCGGTTGGGAAACAGCAGGGTTGCGTCCCTTCCTCAAAATTGTGGCTGCACTGTATTCTGGTCTATTGAAGCTCCTGTCAGTGGGTAAATTGGCGTCTCTCCTATGATGGATTCATTCTCTCCTGGTTGAATATTGGTGCAAGAATATTGAGTTGAGAAAGAATCCCTTTGTTCTGTGATCCCTGGGGACCGACACTAAGACGCCTTCTGTTGGCATTTCAGATAACTGAACAATTTTCTGCAATCAAACACAGCTGTAGCTGAAAATATCTATTGTGTGATGTCTATAGTTGGCCTGTTATCTGGCGATGAACAGAAATACACCAACAAACAATATGACAACAAGATGCCAGGGTCAAAGACAGAGGATGACAGTGTTAATCAGCCTTTTTCATTGATGTTCGTGCAGAGTGGCTTTCCTTTAAGCTCAAACATGAAGTTGTTCACTTATCACTTACTGTTTGTCTGTTTCTCTGTTTTCAGTAATGCTGGCAGCTATTTATAGTGCCTTGCAAAGGTATTCACCTGCCTTGGTTTTTTCCCCCTTTTTTTTACATTACAGTCTGGAATTAAAATGGACTTTTATTTGGATTTTACGAAATAAAAAAAGAAAAACCTGTTTAAAAAAACAGACACATAATTATATAATTAAAGTCCACCGGTGTGCAATCTAAGTGTCACATGATCTAACGCAGCACCGTCCATTATTACCAAATGGAAAGAATATGGCACCACAAGAAACCTGAAAATAAGAAAACACGTTTGGAGTTATAGCAGAAAGGCATATGGAAGACTCCAAACGTGTTGGAATTATTGTTTTTCTTCAAGTAATGACTTTTTTTTGTGGCCACTCTCCCATAAAGCCCACCTCCACGGAGTGTAAATGCTCCTATGGGTGGATGTTCCGATCTCGGCTGTGGAGCTGTTCCAGCTCCTTCAGGGAGATCTGTGGTCTCTTTGTTGCCTCTCTGATTGATGTCCTCCTTGCCTGCTCCTCTTTTGGCAGGTTTGTTGTGGTGCCATATACTTGACATGTTGTAATTCATGGATTTAATGGTGCTCCGTCAGACCATGTGACGCTTAGATTGCACACAAGTGGACTTTATTTAACTAATTATGTGACTTCTGAATGTAATTAGTCGGGGGGGGGGGATACTTTAACAAGGCCCTGTAAACTGCTTCTATCCACAACACCGTCTCGCTTTCAGGGCACAAAGCAGAGCGCACCACAAACAATCAAGATGATCTATTACTGTAACATGTCTGAGGGGATGAGTCACGGCCCTCTGCATGCGGTGTGGCGTAGGGAATATCATTTAGATTTACAACACAGAGAAAGTTCACACCTACATTTGTCATCTGAATCACATATTTTACTTTCTGCTGCTAGGCGTGCAGATAAAGGCTTCTCGGAAGACAAGCCGATTGCTTTCTAATAACTGCAGAACAAATGTCATTTTGCAGCTGTTTGTACGCACATGGAGATGTGTTTGTGGAGGACATCTGGCCTGAGTGGGCTGAATTGGAATGAGGGCTGGGGGGGGGGGGACCTGTCTAGCACAAACAAGATGACGGACACATGCTGAAATATTCACAAGTCAATTTTAAATGAATTCGGGTTATTAAATAGTGATGCCACTGCCGATAGCATACGGGCATGGTGAGGCAAATTTTAAATCAGCTGCACTGGCATGCTTTAGGCTGTCAAACAGCTTGATGGGCGCCCTGTTTCTGTTTTTACAGCGTGTCCGGTTCGGTCGTGCGATGAATAACACCTGCTGGATCGGCCCACAGGACTGCTATCGTTCAGAGACCTCTGGAAAATATCACACTTTGTGTTGGGATCACAAAACCTTCATTTAAAAAAAAAAATAAGTAATTAATAAAAACCTTGAGATTCGCTGCCAACTCAAGATGCATGAGATGGTGATAAGAATGAGGGAAGCCCCGAGATTCACTGTGACGATGATGCACCCTCTCCAAACCCTGCTGTAGCCGGAGCCAGCTGCAACGACTGGTAAAACCGGCCCGTTTTTTTTTTTTAAACCAACAGCACGACATCAAGTACGCTGCCCATTTTAGGCGGCAACCGTTCCTCGGTTCGTCTTAAAATTGAAAGTAATAATAAGAGAAGTTGACAGACACTCACCCACAGCCTTCAGGGAGGCGTACTTGTTCAGATCCTTGTTTTGCTGCTGCTGCTGCTGCTGCTGCTGCTGCTGCTGCTGCTGCTGGTGGTGCTGTTGTTGTTGTTGTTGTTGTTGTTGCTGCTGCTGTTCGTAGACGTGAGCCAGCTGGCTGAAGGCAGGGTAAGGGTGCTGCTGGCCCACGTTGGCGCCCGGTCCCACGTTGTTGTTGATCTGGCCACCCTCTGTGGGCAAGGTCACAAGACGGGGACAAGGTTAGTATCCGGTTCAGACCGGGTGTGTGTGGGAGAGTTGACAGTTTAAAGCATCCACTTACAAAGCACCCCTCTTTTGTTTTATGCTGTATGATGTGCTTCTTTAGCAATGATGTCCGTGCTTAGCATCCATTCATGCCGGTGCCATCAGCTGATGGACTCTTGCCATCATTCTTCAGCTGCGGCCTATCACACGACGTTTTACCAAGTACTTTGACCATGCGCGCCAATGTCCGTGTCTTAGCTGGAATACTCATGTATCAGAATACAGATTCAAGTGTATTGCTGAGCTGTTATTTCTCTATTTGACATCAGCCTCGATATGGAAGTAGAACTTCAGCAAAGAGCTTTAGTCCTCTTTATATGAAGTGCTTCATAGACACATCCTAAATCATGGTGTCAGTATGCCCAGCATCTCTCACCATAAAGGAAGTTTGACTTTTAAAACAGAACCACATCACTATTATAGTCATTTTGTGATTCGATTTTTTCCCGTTTGGAAAATTTGCACATCTTCTTGACGAGTAGTTCTGTCGGACCATATTTATAGTGCTGACCTTAGGGTCATTCTGCTGCAGAGGGCTGAAAAACCTGTCACATGCAGCCGTTTCAACAGGATCATTGTTCTTGGACTAGGTTGCACCGTTTGGGAGATCTTCTGCGCTCACTCTTCCACATGTTAAATGCTCTGCAATCGGCCCTGCTGCTGGTCATGGGGATGAAAGTCTGCGTATGTGATTCAGCTACTTGTTGAACCTTCTGCTTCGTTCACGTGATCTAAAAGATTGAAACTATTTCAACAGTTTATCGATTACCTTTAGCCAGCTGATTCCACAATGTGTCTGTTACTTTTATTCAACATTCAACGTATCCTCATACAACAGTACGAATGATATGTTGCGAAAGTTACTCCTCGTTTTTCGTGCGTTTCCTACAAAAGCCAGCAAAACCTGTCAATTGTGCTCGTTGCATGCATATGCGATCTTTTCAAAATCAGCTTCCGTCTTCACAGGAAACAACTCAGTCAGGTTTAGGCAATAAAAACAAGTTCTTGGCTAGGTTTAGGAAAAGATCGTTATTTGGGTTAAAATAGCTACTGATGCTACGAGAGAAAACACTTGACGTTTCACATGCGGTGTTACAGCTGACTCAATATGTGTATATCGATTGTTTTGAATCAATTCATTGTTCCTATTTCTCGACACAATTTTTCTACTTTTCCAAGTTTCCTGTTGTGGGTTTATAAGGAATTAACCCTTTTTGCCACCAGCATCTGTGCTGCACACACCGCTAAAAAATAGTCCAGTGGCTTTACATTGGTGCCTCGAAAATCACATTAAATCTTGTGTTGATGCTTTACAAGAAATCCAGAAGGCTTTATGTTCTGATTGTGATTAGCAGGCAATCAGTCCTCCATGCCCCAGCACATTTTAAAAGTAGCCCTCTCAGCTGTGGCCGTATTTGATTAGCGAATGGATCAGCCATCCTCAAGAACTGAACATGAACCCAAAGCTGCACCTCCTCTGGAAGACTCAGAAATCAGATGGCATGGTATGTAGGCTACATATGGTGATGAAGGGCGGCGCCAGCAGTTCGGCAGAGTTGCACGAGAGCGGTGGGTGAGGTGTAGCAGAACTGCACGTGCCCGACTTTAAAGCACAGCCGAATGTTAAACTATGTGTGGGAATTCAGAGGACACTCTCCGGCATTGTTCTCTCGCCTCACCGAGTCTGACGGATAATTGCAAATTCCTGTTCCTGAAGACGGAGGTACCCTTTGCTAAGTTAATACATTCTGTTAAAAGCCCCGAATACCGCCACTTGATAATTTGAGAAGTGAGAACAAGTTAAGAGACGGAGAGCGGGAGGAAGGAGCGAGAGGGAGAAAAGTGAAATAGGAGAAAAGGGAGGAGAGGGATGAGGATGCATAAAGAATTAAGAGAGTGTGGGGGGGGCGTTAAAATGTCTGTCAGAGAGACAAAGGCGGTGTGTGTAACTCAGAGGGAGCCGGACAAAATCATTCAGGCAGAAAGCACAAGCATAAGATGGACAATCTCAACACACCGTCCTTTAAATACAAATTCTCCCTCTCAGCCCTCTTATAGCTGCTCATACATATGGCCTTTTGTTGCTCCACAGCAAACAGAAAAAGGGAAGTCATGTGGCTCAAAATATTGATTTCCTCCTCCATTTTCTCTCCGTCAGCGGTGCGCGAGGTGCTCTCAAGGGCCTTAAACCTGCACAGTCCAACTGTCAAGCCAAGCAAATTGTGTTGTTCCTAATTAATCACTTAGCCCTGGCACTGACTCAAACCACACATGCACACACGTATGCTGAGTGACGAGGTAGAGACAGAGAAGAGAGAGGAGAGACAATTATAAAGAGCATCAGAGTGCGAGACAGCGTGAGGCCGTGTAGGAGAAAGAATAAGAGACAAGATTCCCCAGTGTGATGAAATGTCCCATGGTGCTTGGTGAAAGGAAAAGGACACGAGTGACGTGATTTCATTTGGCTTACTGAAGGCTTTGTGAATGTAAGTATATGGAACCAGCTGAAGGCATTGATTCACGATGATGCTGAGGCCCTTCTCTTTCATGCATCAAATATAATCTCTCAAAAACAAAACAGCAGGCACTCCAGTCGTGCTGAAAGACCTCTGGCATGGAATGATGTCACCATTTTTCTCCTTTCCTTATGGATTTTGCCGAGCTGCAATTGACCCTCTCCAGCACAGCCACTGTCCAATCCTCCAATTAGCAACTGTAACTATAGGCCCAGGAGGCCTGTCAAGTTTTCAGCGGTTTGTATGGAACATGCAAGACCAGCAGCAGATATCCTCAAAGTTAAAAGGAGAGTGTCATATGTTCTACCTTCCCAAAGCCCAAAATGCAACAGGAGGGAAGTCGTGTGCGGATTTAACAGCGAGGAAGACCTCACTCACGGCTAAATCCATCGCAGATCAATAAAAAACGAATTTGCTTACTCAAAGGTATCTTAAAATGTCAGCAAACGAAGATGGTTGAATATGAATTATTATTCAATTCAATTTATTTTTGTATAGCCCAAAATCACAAATTACAAATTTGCCTCAGAGGGCTTTACAATCTGTACACATGCGACATCCTCTTGTCCCAGAACCCTCACATCGGAACAGGAAAAACTCTCCCAAGGAGGGAGAGACCTGTGGGAGAGCAACAGAGGAGGGATCCCTCTCCCAGGATGGACAGAAGTGCAATAGATGTCATGTGTACAGAATGAACAGCATTTAATTCATGATTTCCTGGCGTATAGATCAGGCCCGCGATGTGCGAGCAATATCCTGGCGAGCTTTAAACAAATGGAAAAGCCATGAACTCGCAGTGAATACATGAACAGTCATGGAAATGGCAGCCCCCAAAAAAAGAGACTTCATTACACAAAATTCTTAGTCAACTAACAGCCATACAATTTTGTCGAAAAATCAATTTATTTAACCAAAAGATCAGTAAAAGTGCAAATCATGCGAAAGCACCACTTTAAATCTCGTGTTTACCAGAGATGTTCATAAGTTTTATGGAAATAAGTCACTCGACATAAAAAATGCATAAAAAAATGACTCGTCTAAATAAATATTTGAAAGACCAAAAGGACAAATTAGTCGATTAATCATTCAAGACGGGGAACCCTAATTGAAACCACTTGGAATTATGTAGGTGGAGCCAGACACAGGTTAGCTTAGCTTAGCGCAAAGACTGGAAACAAGGGGATACAACTAGCCTTTCCAGTCTTTGTCTTTCTCTCCCAAAATTAAAAAAAAACCCCACATCTCCCAAAATGTTAAACTATTACTTTAAATGCAAGCGGGAACTATAGCAACGTAAACCGCATTCAAAGACAATAGTGGAAGATTTCCACTCTTAATTATGCTCCCATAATAATTTGTAATCATCTTCTGATCCAACTTCTCCATGATGGGGTGAAGTATTGAAATAACAAATCATTTAAATAATTAAATTAGCATAAAAACAAGCATTCTATTCCAGATTTTGCCCTTAATGCCCCCCCCCTGCTTTATCCAGCACCTGTCAAAAAGCTGCGGTTGCGTCATCCATTTTTGAATAGTAAACCAAGTTTGAAAGAACCAAGTTCATAAGCAGTTCAAAACCTTAAGAAGGGTAAAGTAAGAATGATGATTCATGCAACACGAAGTGCTGTTAATAGACAATAGATTTATTGGACATATTTCCCGCAGTTTATCGCATTATACCACAATATTTTGAGTCTATAAAAGTCGCCGCTATTTTTTTCCAAAGAAGCCTTTCTTAACCCATGTATCTCTATTGCTCTATTGAATCACACGTCCCACAGTTTTCTCCGCTATTTACTCTAAGACACCTCCGCTTCAGAGTGACAAACAATCCACAACCTTATCCCCTCCAGTTCTCTTTGCTTACAGAGTGCTATAATTATTTCAAGTTAATAGAAACACTGTGTTAGCTCTAAAGATGACGAGGCTGACAAAGATGATGCAAATTTGAGCCAAAATACATATAATTGCCGACCTTGCTCTCCGGCAATCTTGAGAGATAAACAAACAAAAAACGATTCTGCTAATTCTCTTCTAGGATCTGTCTTCCTCTCATGGCTGTGTTTTGATCTTGGTGAAAAGGATCACACACACACAGAGCGAAAACAAACACAGGACCGTGATGACATCGTCGCACCATGAACCCATTCAGCAGGATGACTGACAGCTGTCTCCAGGACTCCCATCAGGATGATGAAAGGGAAGCAGTGGGAGTCTGCTGGTGTGGTCACGGCGCGTCACTGAGCTGCACCGAAACACAGTGATTCTCAGCGCAGCCTCTTAACTATCTCCAGTGACTGCCCGGTTTCACTCACTGCCACCGGAATATTTCCCCAAGATTAGAGCTGCAGCAAACTACAAAGAAAGGGAAATAAATTGGATACAGTTGGGAATCAGTTTGACAA